CCCCCCCCCCCCCCCCCGCTTTCAACCTCTTGTTCAGTACTCTCTACTGCGTACTCTCTACCGCAAGTGAATATACCATAAATGCACGATAATGACAACCACGACTAAATTGGATTTCCCGTAAATAGGACGACTATCATAACCACGATAAATTGATAACATATCGAGTATACTAACAATAATAAACCATTATACGATAATTGACCAAAACTTGCCCCAGATCACCAGTTAACCTCCCATCTACAGATTTGACCCTGACATCACGAATCCGTACTTTCAGTGAGTACCCCCTAAATCCTGAATACTTTAATTCTACTTTAAGTTTAACTTTAAGTGAGAGTTTCAGTGATATCATGGTAGTCATGATTCCGACGAATAAGCCCATCACAATTGAGTTCATGACGTCAGAAATGCCTTAAGTTTAGCTTCTGGGAGGGGAAGAGTGAGGGGAAGAGGGCAGGCACCAGCATGGGGCCATCGCCCAGGCCGGAAAAATTACGGAAAAACCCCTCAACCTGTCTCACGGCACGCTGACGTGTATGCGGAACCGGGGAAATTAGGCGCCACAGGCAACTCCGAAGCGCCGATCACGTCCTAACCCCGCCCCACTGGAAAGGGGGGCTAACCCGCCGTCGCCGCCGTGGCCGCTTTGCGTCCTAAAAAATAGACTTTCACTTGCCGGTCGCCGGTGTCCCCGTGAACGCCGTAACCGCCACAAACGACTTTTGAGTAGTGACGCACTTTCCGTTGGCCGTTATCGGACGATGCGGTGAGTGCCTGTCATCGCGCCATCTAACAGTCACAGCCGTCTTAGCTAAGCAGGCCCCCGATCATGATCAGTGGATCATATCCTTTTCTTTTTGTCTTAGATGTTAGTGTGTGTTTGAGGCGATTACTTCAGCAGCGCGGCGGCTCGGATTAATTGCTCGACTTAAGCCACCACCAGCAATTACCTTGAGGGCGAGCTCCGAATTTTCCGGCGGCGTCGTGTTCCCTCAATTTGGCAATATTTCCAGGTGTTGGGTCCCTCTGGCAATTTTTTTTTTTTTTTTTTTTTCGCCAGTGAGGGGTAGTGCATCGGAGGTTAACCTGCGACAGATACACCCACTATTGGTAAACGGTCGCTCAACGCAGGCAGGCAGCAGGCAGCAGGCAGCAGCACAGGCAAGTATCCCTCGCGATCGCTGCACACCCATTGGCCAACGCAGAGTTTAATCAGCAGCCACGTCGCTGTCTCCACCAGGCTTATTATTATCTTGGGCCTAATCGCCCAATCGAGGATGGCCAAACGGCGATTCGCCGTATCAGATTTGTCTTAGAGATTAGCCTTAGAGAATAGCCTTATGAGATTGGCCAGCAAGTGATTGGTGGCAGCAGCACCTGAGGGCCCGCCTGGTCCGGTTGGGATAGCCGCTACGCTAAGCAATACTTGGCACACCCCGGAAGTGCAAGTGGTGCAAGTGGGTGGCCATCTTGGTTGTCATTGCAAGTGGTAATATTAGTAATACCCCCGGGCGGGCCAAAGCCCCAACTACGGGGCGAACGCAGAAAAAAGGAACACAAACAATAGCGATCCTCGCCGACGTCATCAAATAATAGCAAAGCAAGATTACGACCGCCGGCGAGGTCAATCTCGCCCGCTGACTAACTCCGGAGACGAAAGAGGCTCCACCAGGAAGCACGCCAGCGTATCTCCACCTCCAAACAACATTTTAGTCCGAGCCTCGATCTGATAACCGAGCCCGAGAGAGATTCACTCACAACGAGAAGAGATACGTTAAAGAGAATAGTGTTTGACGCCGTCATTTAAATGGGGTCACTAAACGAAGCCACAGCTTCACCGACAGTGCTTTTTTTGGCCTGCCGACACAAACTTGGTGCCGAAAGCTCCAAATTGCTCTAGTTACTTTGACGATTAAGGCACGAGGCAAGAGTGGTTATGTTTTCGTGGCACCTTTTTCAGTGGCATCACCCCTGCACCGCGGCGCCTCTGAAAACCCGTCGGAGCTTGGCATCGCAAGCAAAGTGTACTCCGCTGGCCGTTTGCTATACAAAAAAAAGAATGAGTTTGTTTTGGGTTAGCGAACCTCCGATTGTATCCGTCTCCGTGCACTTAATTTGAATAGTTGGAGAAATTGAGTGATCGGTCACGTGATCAATCATGTGACGTTTTAATCACGTGACTGGTCTCGTGACGTATCACGTGATCAATTTTGATCGGCAGTGCGGTGTCATACATTCTTCCCCTTAGTATCTTGATCTAAGGCTACCACCCGGTGTTTCCTGAAACTGTCTACGCCAGGATGACCTCGTTTCGAGGGATCGTGCACGCGTGGAATGCCGCCTCCCAGCGGGTGGCGCACCACTTCCGCGGCCTCGCCCGCCCCAGCTGTCGCGCGCCCGTCTTGGTGGCGCCGGTGGCGGTGGCAAACGCTGGCGCCGCCACCACCAGGCCCGCCATCGCCACGCCGTGGCTCCAGGCGACGCGCCAGTTCACTACCTATTCACCGTTCAACTCCAATCCACGCACCCACTACCAGCTGTTCCGGTTTAAGACCAAGTTCTTCCACCACTACTTCCGCACCCGGGCGGCGCTGCCGATCTTGCGGGGGGCCCAATGGCACCTGTTTGTGTTCCACAACTTCAGCCAGGCGTACCTGAACACCTACCGGCTCCGCCTCCACACGCTGTCGCTTAACTTCACCACCAAGACGTTTTTCAACCGTATTCGGCGCCTGTTTGGGGTGGCGCCGCTGGCGCTGTACGCGGGGCAAAAAGTGTTTGTGCCCCAGCCGACAGTGCTGGTGGCGATCCGGTTGAACCGCGAGTTGACCCCCGCCAACCACCGCATCACCCTCAGCTTAGCCAAACGCGAGCTGGAGGCGAAGGTCGTCAGCGGGTGCTACTTGGAATTTCGCCTCGACTGCAAGGTCGCCATCCCGCGCGAACTGTTGTACACCGAGGACACTCAGCTGGAGATCAAGCGGCTGCTCGACATCCAGCGGCGCCGGTTGGCGTTGATCGAGGACAGCCTCGACAAGCTCGCCGACATCGGGCAGTTGCCGATCACGTGTGACGACCAAGTGATCCGGTTCTACTTCGCCAACTGTGACCGGGCGCGCCTCGAGGCGCTCTTGCTCGAGCGCGAGATTGCCGCCGGAGTGATCGTCGAGGACTACGACGCGGCGGCGCTGGCCCTGGCGGCGGCAACGCAGGCGGCGGAACCGGTGTCGGAGTGGGACGTGTTGTCGCTGAGCGGCTACTTGACGCTGGCGTCGTCGGCGTCGCTGCTGGCCGACACCGCCGCCGTCCTCTCCGACGACAGCCACCTCGCCACCGCCCTCGTCACCCCTGACTTTGCCGCGGCGCCACCAGCTGCCGACACCGTCGAGATCAGCCATGACTTCCACTGGGTGTAAGCGAGCGTGCGGGATATAATCCGGTAATGATACATCACACACGTATGACTGGACATTTAACCTCTTTGTATTGCTTTCTCATGCGTCCTGCTAGGCACGATCCTCTGGCCCTCTTCCTCTAAACGCCGACCACTATCACCTTCCCGCCGCTTGCCGACAATACGTCGCAACCGGTGCTTTTTACTGGCGCCATTGTCTCGCTCGGCGGCGCGATCGCGGGTCACTAGTTACCTCCGATATTATCAGACATTAACCACGCAACCCCGGCCCCAAAATCGGGAGAAGCCGGCTGTCATCCACAAACGCTTAAGCGGCAAATTAGGGGGGCAGGTACCCGCCACTAGCCACCGGGAGGGGGGCTAGGCTCGGCGCCCGGGATTAAGGCGTTGGCGCCGGTTATGTCCGTGGCCTTGGCGCCGCCTACCAACCGATCCCGATGGCAACCAGACACTTTTCTCTCTCGTCATCATCGTGCACCAAGCGCCAAACCATGAGGGCAGGTGGACCCTGTCACATAATACTTCTATCTCCGGTTGCCTCCGCCCACCTCTGCCTTGCTCTGCTTTGCTCTGCTTCCTATTTCGACCGTTCCATGAAGTTACACCCGTGCAGCAAAAATCTCACTCACAAAACCGAGTTCTCGAAGTACACCCGTGCTGCAAATGCTCGCACCGTCTAAATGCTCGCACTGCCGAAATCTCGCTGGGGTCACATTGCCGGATTTGGTGCGTGTCGCATACACTGTTTGTTTGATCCCTCACCACCCCTCACCCTGAGACACCCGCCATGAGTGACCCGCAAGGCAGTGGCGACGACCTCGACTTCGACACGCGGCCGTTGCTGACATCATCAGCTAAGGCAGCAGACGACGTTGGCGAGCTTGAAAACGTCGACCTCAACGACGACGGCGGCGACGGCGACAGCGCCCTCGACCAGTCGCTTGCCCGCGACGCCGCCCAGATGGCGCTCGAGGGGAAGCGGGAACCGGAACCGGAAAAGCACTTGGACGACCTGTTTGAGGACGCTCTGGAGGCACCCTTACGCATTGGTGGCACCGCTGGTCCGAAACTCCCTCCGAGACACATCATCGACGACTGCATCCGTCTCGACGAGCTCGTGGCGGCGGACACGCTGAAGCTCGAGGAGACGGCCCACTCCTACAACAAGCAGACGCAGAACTACTTTTTGCAGGCGAAATACAACCAGTTGAACCGCAACTTCGCCCTGAAGGATGCCAAGCAGCAGGAGCAGATCAATCTGGGGACGGAGAACATCAAGAAGACCTTCGACAACATCAAGCAGACGGTGGGGGGTTTTTCGGAGATGTTCGAGTACAAGATCGACTGGGACTTCTGGACGCGGATCGTCAACAACTACGAGGAGGTGATTCTCAACGAGCTGGACGAGTTGAACACCCTCATCATGCTGGGGATCCCGCGCGAGTTTCGGGGGATTATCTGGCAGTTGGTGGCCAAATCGAAGAACTTCCAGATGGAAGAGTTCTACTTGCAGGTGAAGCTGGAGCCGTCGATCCACGAGAAGCTGATCAAGCGAGACTTGACCCGCACCTCGTTCTTCACCAACGTCGAGCAGGTGAACAAGGCCGACGAGTTGTACAACGTCATCAAGGCGTACCTGTTGTTCGACCCCGACGTCGGCTACACCCAGGGGATGATCTTTATTACCGTGCCCTTAATCATGAACATGAGCGAGGCCGAGTGTTTCTGTCTCTTAGTGACGTTAATGAAGGAATACAACGTCCGCGACATGTTCTGTCCCGAGATGAAAGGATTACACTTGATGCTCTACGAGTTCGACCGCCTCCTCGAAGTGTACTCGCCCATATTGTATAACCATCTCGCCAAACAGGGGATCAAGCTGTCGATGTACGCCCTGCAGTGGTTCCTCACTTTCTTCGCCTACAAGTTCCCCTTGGACATGGTGTTGCGGATCTACGATATCATCATCACCCAGGGTATCGAGCTGGTGCTTAAACTTGCGGTGAACTTGATGATTAAGAACGAGTCGCAATTGTTACAGCTTAAGTTCGACAAGTTATTGGAATACTTAAAAGATAAGATGTTCAATGTCTACGTCCACGACGAGTTCACTCGTCTCGAAGCACCGGATGCACCGCTGCTGAAACGGTCGCTGACCATCTCCAAACGGTTCTCGTTACTTGCGGGAGCTAAACGAGCGTCAGACTTCAACTCGGGGCTGGCCAACCACCCGTACTACAAGCTCGACGCCATGGTCCACGACGCGTTGCAAATCAACGTCGACCCCGTCGAACTCACCAAGTACGAAGGCGAGTTCGAACGGATATACTCCACCGAAGAGGCTAAGGCCGGCGACATTGAGAAGTTGCGGGTGGAAAACGGCAAATTGCGCCACATCATCAAGGAGCTCGAGACTGAGTATGCCAACTTTAACCGCGACCATGTGGACACGGTACAGAACATGGTCGACACCAAAGTGATGTTACCCGAAGTGCGTAACGATATTGAGGAATTGGAACTTCAAATTGAGAAGATGGAGGCCGACATTGCTGAGATTGAGCTGAAGACGGGCCACCATGCTGATAGTGGTACGCTGGAGGAACCGCGGACCCCAGAACAAGAAGACCTCCCTGAAGCGCTTCAGAATGATATCGCTGAGTTATTAGTGATCAACGCCGAGGAGACGGAACGGTTCGCTGAGCTAGATGACGAATTGGCCCGGCTCGTCGCCGAAGACCAGGCGTTGACCCGCGAACTCAAACAGAATCTGCGCAAACTGTGGTTCAGTTTCGCCAAGTAATGACCCCCTCTATCTTAATGGCACCGTCGTATATAGCACCCCGAGTTTAGTAACACAACCATATCATGCAATTTACCATTCATCTAAGACAAGATAAACTTTCAATTTCAATGGGTCTATGTCTTCATCAAATGTAGAATCATTAATTGATGGTAACTTCTTTATTCATGCAACAGCGAGTTAGATCGACTTCTGTGCATTCTGCGTTAGAAGACTTAGCTTCTGCTAAAGTGAGCATACACTGCGTAATGCACAGGTTCATACAAGTCTGAAGCCATAAGAAATCAAAAACTAGACAGTTTCTTCCTTTAATGATAAAAATTATACATTTATGCCATCCATTTGATTGACCCCGACGCAAATCACCGCAGTCAATATTCGCTCTCATCGCATGTCCCACTGACACACCTGCACACAAACCACGCGCACCCCGAGTCCTGAGTCAACGACGAATATTACTCCAAGATCCCAAAATCTCCACAGCGATGGCGAAGCTCACCGAGAAGATCGCCCAGCTCCGGCCGGACCAGCGGTTCGTGTCGTTCGAGTTCTTCCCGCCCAAAACCGACGGCGGGTTCCGCAACCTCATCGCCCGGTTGACCCGGATGCTGGCGCTCAATCCGTTATTCGTCACCGTCACTTGGGGCGCCGGCGGGCTGACACTGGAGAAATCGTTGGACCTCGCCGCCACCTGCCAGCGAGAATTGGGCCTTACCACAGTGCTCCATTTGACCTGCACCAACACCAATCGCCAGATCATCGACACCGCCCTTGCCCGAGCCAAAGAGGCGGGGATCCGCAACGTCCTTGCCCTTCGTGGTGACCCTCCGCGCGCCGAGGAGTACTGGACCCCCGACTGCGACTTCCACAACGCCGTTGATTTGGTGCGTTATATTAAGGCCAATTATGGCGACTACTTCTGTGTTGGTGTTGCTGGCTACCCTGAAGGTCATGTTGACGGCTCCGATAACGCCGGCCAGGACCCGAGAAAGGATATGCCATACTTAGTGGAAAAAGTCAAGGCAGGCGCTGATTTCATCATCACTCAATTGTTCTACGACGTCGATAAGTTCTTGGCCTACGAACAGTTGCTCCAGCTGTACCCTGAGCTTAAGGACGTGGTGCTCATCCCGGGGCTTATGCCGGTGACCACCTACAAAGTGTTTCAGCGAGCGGCTAAGCTCTCCCACGCCAAGATCCCCGCCGCCATCGAGCAACGGGTGTCGGCCCACCAGTCCAACGACGACACCGTCAAGCAGATCGGGGTCGACGTCATCACCGATATCATCGCCGCCATCGACGCCAAGACCAACGGCAGGATCAGAGGCTACCACTTCTACTGTCTCAATCTCGAGAAGGCCACGGCGCTGATCATCGCTAACTCCCAGGTGTTGCTGCTGGTGATCGACGAGCCCACGCACATCAACCACGACGAGGCGATCGCCCTGGACGACAGCGACGTCGAGGCGCCGCCCAAAGGCGCCAACGGGGCTCGGCGGCGGTCATCCTTGGTTAACGCTAACGAGCTCGCCAAGGACGATGCGCAGCGAGCACTTGTGAACAAAGCCCTCCTCAAAGATAAACGGGTGCTCCGCGAGATCTCGGCTGGTAAAGGGGCCTTAGGTAAAGACGCTATTTGGGATGACTTCCCCAACGGGCGGTTTGGTGACTCCAACTCTCCCGCCTACGGTGAGATCGACGGTTACGGTCCTTCGCTCAAAATTAGCACCCCTAACGAAGCCACCGTGCTTTGGGGCACTCCCGAACTGACCCTCGACATCACCCGCGTGTTCACCGCCTATCTCTCGGGCCTGATCCCGTTGCTCCCGTGGGCCGACCAGGCGTTGCTGCCCGAAACCGCGTTGATTCAAGAGGAATTGCTCGAGTTAAACTGCAAAGGGTGGTTCTCCCTCGCCCTGCAGCCGGCGGTGAACGCCTGTCGTCTGAACGATAAGATCTTGGGATGGGGTCCTCCCGGTGGGGTGCTCTACCAGAAGGCGTTTGTCGAGTTGTTCGTCCCCAAAAAGGACTGGCGCGAGGTGATTTTGCCCCGCATCACCGAGGACGTCGACGCCCAGACAATCACTTACTACTTGGGCGACTCGCTGGGTAAGATCGAGTCGAACTTGCCCCGCCAGGCGGAGTCAAAAACGGCCATCACCTGGGGGGTGTTCCCGTCGCGGGAGGTGGTCCAGCCGACGATGGTCGACTACGAATCGTTCAAGGCGTGGAACGAAGAGGCCTTCCACTTGTGGGTGGAGTGGGCCCGCTGCTACAAGGTCAACCTGAAGCTGTACCAGCTCCTCAACTCGATCCACCGCGACTACTACTTGGTGAGTCTCGTCCACCACGACTACCCTGAAGAACATGCGCTTTGGGATACCCTTCTTCAGGAATGACTATCTCCGAGGCTCTGAGCGGGACCCAATGGATATCACATTACTATTAGCATCACTACTACCGCCATTGCTCGCTGTCCGCCTCCACTCTTCGCGTACTATGTACAACCAACACAAACACACAAACACAGCCCCTGTATCAAAACAATGTAGTCGTCAGCTGGATGACATCCCCAATCGGTGTTCAAGCACCGAAATGTAGCGGTCAGCCACGGGGCCCATGTCTTTATCGGGACCAAGATAAGTACACTTAGTCTTCTCAAGCTGGAGCACGCCAAACTCAATGAGTGTAGTCGCTTTGACCACAATTCGACTGCCTAAAGGTATCGGTACCATCAGCGACGGTCCACTGGCACCAGCTCTGATTTTGAGCCAGTCTATCAGCTGGTAGCGGTCGTAGGCAAAACACGCGTGGCCCTGGCGGTCCTGTAAAGTAAGCTTCCACTGTCGTCTCGTGGGAATCTCTGGTTGTTCGTCTTCAGTGACGTTCACATGGTCAACAATCGGTCGCAGAGCAGCGGCGCCAAGTCGGTCAACGGGGGCGTGGTTGGGCTGGTTAATCTGTCGCCACTGGTATAATTGAGTCAACGACAGCGTCAGAATGTCCTCGATGAACATCACGTGGAACTCAACATCGCTGGCGAGTTGGGCTTCGGCCTTGGTGGCATACGCCTGAGGGTCATACGACATACACGCGTACGCGTTTGCAAGAGAAAGTGAGAATTGGTAAAAGACGATGAAGGACCTTTCTATGTCTGAAAACACCCTCATCACTGCTTTCAAAAGTACATAGTAAGATGATGTCATCATTTGGAGTGTGAAAATGGTAGAGATGTTGATGTGGTATCACTCAGACTTCATCAACATATTGCATTTTGTCAAATTCCTGACAATTTGATTTGTAAATTAGCCGAACTACATTCTTGGACTTCACCTCTGGATTTAGTGTCAAAACGGCATCAAAGCGTCGTAGGAAGAGCTTGTATTTCGACAACTATTGATATGGTACACCAGTGTGATTTACACGATGACGTCATGAGGTGCATAGCTTTTGAGGACCTTCCATAGACCTTTAGAAAAAAATTTTGTCAAAAAATCAAAACTTCAACAATTAAACCATGTTGTTCGTTCAGTTGCTAGAAACACTACTAGCATGTTAAACTGTATTTATTCCTGAAATTAGTTTCATGGTAAGGACACGACCATTTTGTCATTTTGTGTCCGACACGACATCAACGCTAAATTGATGCACGTAAACAGATAGGTAGATCTACATTGAGTCAAATTATAAACACAAAAAGATCCGAAAATGGCATAGTGCGATAACGATATTACCAGATCGTTACATCCACGTTTTTTGAGATTGCTCTTCAGTAACCTAGCTATAACTTCTTTAGCATATGCAGCCGTTAATTCCAGTGTGAAGTATCACATCATTCAAATTACACTACTGTAATTACACTTGCGCAGCACATATCTTTCAATCCAGTGAAGATTGATGGGTATTGTGCTAACAAAAGTTTCTCCTAAAACTGTAGAGAATCACATATATCAGTACCAACAAATGGCACGAGGTTTAGAAACCCAAGTTCGGTGATCTCTGAAAAATAGACCCCCTCGTGGCAATTTTTTGAGTATCCCAAATATCTCACGATCCAGAAGTGCAAATATGGTCGAACGACCACGCAAACTGATCTACAAGACCCTATGAATATTATTAGCACATGTATGAAACTATAGAAGATGATCTGATTTTTCTCGAACAAGAAGTGGCGATATTAGGGCTGTCATGACGGTAAATATCCAAAACTTTAGTGAATTTCAGCTGAAATTGGCTCAAATCGAGTTCAACACGTCCTAAAGATGACCAGATCCAATAGATGTATACTGTTTTTCAGGCTCTTGTTCGTCTATATGGCTATGTAGATTTCGTCCTCAGCAAACTACAGGATAAAGTCACAATCATCGTAGATTTAAAATAAAACTCAGAGCACGACCCTTGGAATCGGTATATGTGTTCTGGTTTCAACAGATGTGCTTCATTCCTTGCGTTCCCTTTGTTTGTTCAGCAGCTAAAGTAATCCCCGATCAAAGGTAGTTCGAAGAAAAGTATGGCTTCTGAGCTTCTCAATAGTCTCACGTTGCATTCCATCACCTGGGAGTCTACCCTAGGTTTGTGGGCACCCAGAACAACAATTCCGTAGAGTTTGGCGGCCCGTTATCGATCCATAGAAGCGCCTGCAGAATCATCTCGTCCACCACTCGCCGACACCGCTCGCCATCCCACCCGTAGTTGTCCCGCAACAACCGGTAGGTGACGTAGCCGCCCATGAACTGGCATAGCTCCAACAACTTGTGCTGGTCGCTCAGCATGTCGTCGGTGGCACTGGAGTATTTGAGCCATCGCTGAGAGTTGATGGTGATGAGCGAGTACCCGGGGCCTAGCTTCTGGAGAGCATCGACAGCTTTCACCACCTCTGCTTCCGTTACTGTAAGGCCAATATCAGCGTCCAGAAGCTGTGTAGCAAGGTCAGACACCGCAATAAGCCCGCCATTGATGTGGATCGTTTGTTGGCAGAATTCCATCACCCGGACCGCTACCGCCAGGGGTTCTTGCGACGATGACGACAGACGTCGTAGCAGCATAAGCTTCAACGGATCTAGGCCTGCCAGAACGCACATCTGGGTGAATTTGGCGGTGAACTCGGGGCTGGCGGCGATATCACTGGCATGCTCGCTGGCGAAATTGACGAGAGCCTGGCGAAGCACTTCAAGCTGGGTGTCAAGATGTTGTTGGTGCTTTTGCACGAGCGACTTCCCCACCCGGGAATAGGCGGCTCGGTCAAAAGACATGGACAGTTAGTGATCGTCCTTGGTTGGCGGCAATCGCACTCAACTGCAGCACTGATGTTTGGCCACGACCCACAGAGCGGTAAGACTTTCAGCAAAATATTGACAATACAATTGAATTTGAAGACTATTATTGTAAACAGAGGAGATAATTGCCCGGGGTATGCCCTACTCGGGGTTTGAATCGTGGTGGGTGCCCCGCTTTGCTATTTTCGGGCCGAGCTTCGTGGTAGCCGTTTGGTGCGGTGGTAGCCACACCCCGGAGTTGTTCGCGGTTATTATTGCCATGTGAAAGCCATTAAGGAATATGCCTGTGATATGAATATAGCACCTACAAAGAAGTCTATTACTTTTCAAAACCAGAAGCAACACAGAAAAAGAACTCTAACAACAATGATTATTGACAATTTCACTTTCCTCTTCCATATTTTTGAGACCCGAGGTTCTGGCCGTTAGCGTCTAGCCATCCGAGCCGATATACAGGTCCCCGCTCCACCACCCCACACCCCACGATCCAAAAGAAAAAAGATATTACTCGCCTCTGCGACCCACCACACGGACCCAAATGAAGTTTGAAGAGTATCAAGCGCCCCGGGAGATCGAGGTGACCATCGGCCCCGGGATCCTGGCCACGGTGGCGGTGCCTCACGCCGTCGACACCGACGACTACCACGCCATGGGCTACGCGCCGCCCACGCTGAAGATGGCGCTCATCCTCCACGGCCAGGGCGGCCACCGCGACTACTGCTACCAGAAACGGCTTGCCCACGCCTTGGCCAAGGAGTTGGGTGTCTACTCGTTGCGGATCGACTTCCGCGGGTGTGGCAACTCCGCCGATAACGCCAACGACAAGGTGGGGCGGGTCATCTCCCAGGACGTCGCCGACATCCAGGCCTGCGCGGAGTGGATTGTCGACAGCAGCAAGCACGGCTTGGGTGTCGAGTTTACGCTTTCTCTGATCATTGCCCATTCTAGAGGGGCAGTGGCGATGTTCTTGTGGGCGATTGAGCAGAACCAGATCGCTAAGCTGGAAGACCCGTCCAAGGCGATCATCGTCCCCAATTTGGTTAATTGTTCGCTGAGATTCCGCCTGTGGACGGTTATCGACCGCTACCCCATCCTCTCCCCTGAATTTGATTCGTTGCCTCAACGGTGCTTGCGCCACGGTAAGTTGACCGATGTACCCATTCCTCGCCAGGAACTTCTTGAGTTGGCTAAACCCGATATGACTCGAGTCAAAGAGCTCCCCTTGGACTGGTCGACGCTTTGCATTTACGGGCTAGAGGATACCATCGTCCCCATTGAGGACTTTGCCTACTACACCAACTACTTAAACCGCGGCTACTACTCAAACAAGCTTGAAATTATCCCTCGCGCCGACCACAACTTCTTCGGTACCGTCGCCATCGAATCGGAGTCCGATGCCGCCGAGTTTAACCCTGACGGCTACCCGTTGAACCGTCGTAAACTCGTCAACTACAACTACGAGGTCGTCGACCGCATCCTCCTGTGGTTACAGCCGCACCAGGAGCTCAAACGGTTTGTGGCGCTGCTGTACGACATTGGCCGTTTCCCTCGTTGGAAACAGGTGGAAGGAATTCTGAACTTCCGCGACCTCGGTGGGTGGAAAGTGGCCCATCCACGTTACCCCGAGGCCGACGGCAACTCCCACAGCTACTACGTGGTGCCCAACTTGGTGTTCCGGTGTGCGCTGATGACCACCGTCACCGATGCTGGGGTACAGGCAATCAAGCGGCTAGGGGTAGTTACCGTGTTTGATTTGCGGTCCCACGGTGAAGCTAAGGATGACGGCGTCCACGAGAAGCTCGCCGCCGCCGGCATCACCCGTATCCACTCGCCTGTGTTCACCGACGACGACTACTCGCCCGAGCTGATCGCCATGCGCTACCAGAACTTGATGACGCTGTGGAGCACCTACATCAACGTGTACGAGAAAGTGTTGGACGAGGGGTGGGGCGCCTACAAGACGATCTTCGAGTACATTCGCGACGACGGCCGCCCGTTCCTCTTCCACTGCACTGCCGGTAAGGACCGCACCGGTGTGCTTGCCATGCTTATCCTCTTGCTCTGTGGCGTCGACCACCACACCATTGCTCGCGAGTACGAGTTGACCACGGTGGGGCTTCAACCGGACCACGCCAAGATCAAGGCTAAGTTTGTCGACACTGTCGACAAGTTGAAGCTGAAGATGGGCGAAGCCGGCGACGCTCTCGAGGCCGCCATTGCTCAGGGACGCGCTAACTGGACGTTGGAAGAAGACGGGTTCAACAACTTGATCTCGCTGCGCTACGAGGCGATGTTGGACACCATCTCTATGTTTCACCAAAAATACGGCGGCGTCGTCAGCTACATGAGAGATAAGTTTGGCTTTAGCGAAGCCGATATCCGCCAGATCCACGCCCGGTTGGTGATCACCGACCCGCAGCAGGACGGCTTCACCACCGAGAACCACTTGAAGTGGACGGCGCGGTGCAACGAAAAGGCCAAGATCTGAGAGTAGCCGTATCTATAGAATTTGTGGTCATAGAATTAGGGGGTCATAAACGAACATTACATGATGGGGAGGGGCCGGTCGGTGAACGTGAGCTTGTGTTTCACCACATCAACCATCGATATCGAGTCGTCGACGCGTAGCACTCCTAGCGGTACTTTAAGCGGCACGATCTGCCCTTCTAGCCGCTGCAGCTGGCCAACATACATCGTCACCCGGTTGCCATTGAACTCGACACGACCGAACTTGACTGCGGTGTGGATATCGTCGATGGTGATGAAATTCTGCGCTGCTGGGTCTGACGGTGGGGGTGGTGCCAGGGGACCATTGAGAACCCCCTGGATATCGAGAAGCACTCTCCCTTGAGGAGTGGCGATTGTCGGTGGTTGGGTGGTGGTATCGATATCAGTAGCACTGTTGAGGGCTTGTTGAGCCCCCGTAGTGTCTACCACCGTCTTCATTCGGGGTTTGGTAAGTGTGGAGGGTAGTGTGTGTACCGATGTTGTATACGGTAGTGTGTATACGATGTATGTGGCCAGTGTGATGTTTTGGTAAGCGCGCGCATCACCTAAACAGGCAGTGATGGCCTAAATATATAGCTTACACTAAACAGTGCCTCATTGGGGAAAACTGTTTGATGCTCCTGGCGATGAATAAACAGGAGCAAAGGTAAACCCCTGCCACTAAGCCTCGGATTGACGAAAAACCACAAAACAAAACCGCCTAACATACCCGTAGCTCGCGCCATAGTCTCGGGAAAGGTTTAGATAACGAAATTGCCCCAACGATAGTTACGGGGACAACGCCAATTGTCATTCTCCATTGATTGCGGGCGTTTCATTCTTCCCCCAGACTCCCCCAGACTCGCTTCTGCCCCACTCTGCCATACGTAAACATTGCCAGTAGGAGCCACTGCGATCTGAGGCCGGTAACCGATACACCCACTGCGAGCCCCACTTAGAGGCTTTAACCTACAAACACAATGACGACGGGTGGCAACCATTTGCTTAACCGCCATTGTCAACGGCTCCATGTGAATTCCGTGGGCTAACGGGTGCTGCCGGTGACTTTCGAGGGGCACTTAGTCTTGCCCCACTTGGTGCAGGCGAGCCTTTGCCCAACTGCCTAATTAGGCAGGTTTGCGGCACCCACTATATCCAGTCAGAGGAAGCAGAGCACGGTTTATAATGCCTTCCGAGCCCGCTGTCCCGTGCAGAAAACCACCACCACCACCTACCCCAACGTCTGGCTGAACCATGACCCTTTCTCCCCCGTGGACGGGCGCATTAACGCTGTACCCAATATGGTCGCCCGACACCTACACTCCCACCCATGGCATCTTGCAATTGCTTCGCTACGCTAACAACATGCCCGCCGAGGGTACCGGTGCCTACTGGTTGAATAAGGCCGGGGTCAACTTGATGGGGCATATCCCTCCCTACATCATGGACTACGTCGTCTACTGGCAGTTGAACTTGTTCGGTGACTATCCCAACCACGTCGACGTGGCGCCGCTGATTGTGTTTATTGTGGTGTTCTCGGTGCTCTTGTTCTTCCACACCCTCATCTTCGCCATCAATTGCTCGCGAGCCCACTACTTCTGGATCTCGCTCGGGTGGATATTCTATTGTATTTTGAAGATTATCGGGTTTTCGTTGCGCATCAAGTGGCTGTCCAACATCGGGTTAACCCAAACGGGGATTGCCCTGGAGGTATTTTTAATCTTGCCCACCATCATCTTGGTATCGTTCAACTTGATTTTGGCCCAGAGACTCTTCACGTGGCGACACCCCGTGGGTGGTTCGAGACGTTTGTTCTGGAACACCATGATTGCCCTTTACGCGGTGGTGTTCGGTGTTATTGCTTGGACCATCGTCGCCCTGGCGGTGCCCTACCAGTACTACTTGAGTCTTAGTGCCTATAAGCTGTACCAGAAGGCAGTGCAGGCGTCGTCAATCTTGATCTTACTCTATACGTTCACGGCGTTGATTTTGATTGGGTTGCTGTACTTCTTCAAGCCCACGGCCAAGGATGAAAACTTATACACCTACCAGCCGTGGTGGATCGAGCTGTTTGGCCCCTTCTACTTCGTGAAGAAGGGGGCTAAGCACGAGGCGGAAGAGACGTTCATGAAGCGGGGCTCCAACCAGCGTCACGCCATCAGAGTCATCGCCGCTACTCACCACCACAACAACATGGTGGAGGGGTTGTCGAACTCCAGAGGTAGTTTGACCCATAATTGGTCCATCTGCATTGTCACTGCCACCACTATCTTGACATTCATCGGATCGTTGTTGCGGTGTATTGTTACCTTCCTCGACAGATACCAGAAGGACCAGACCAGTATCTCGAAGCGGGTGCCGATGTACATCACCTGGGGGGCGTTTGAAACCATTGTCAACATCCTCTTCATCGTCGGGCGTGTCGATCTCCGGTTCTACCGTCCTGACAGGCTTCCTAAGAAAGTTAGAGCCATCATCACCGCTGAGCAGTCGTTGGCAAACTCACGCGCCCAATCCCGAGCCCACTCGATGCGTTCGTCGTTTGACGACGAGTACGACACCTACGGCACCCACCCGAGACAGACGGGCTCCTTCGAGTTCACCGATCACTACGATGACAAGGACGAGGTCTACAGCGACGACTACTCGGCCGATTACGAACGGCGGGCCCGCTCACGTACTAACCTGCCCTACGACAGCTACAGCGAGGAGGAGTTCGACTTCGACGCTGACGACGATTACCCACACCACGGGCTGGTCCCTCTGTCGAAGAAACCGACGAGACGACCGCCGCCCCCTGAGGTCAACTTCGCCGACGACGTCCACAGTCTTGTCGACAGCGAACACGACGATCTACCCGAGCATGACTACGACCACCCTTACGCACGCACCCTCCGCCCGCCTTCGCGTAACGAGGACTTCCACTTCCCCCGCCGGCGGTCGCTGGACGAGTTCCAATTCTAATCTCCTTACTCTAGTGTCGTCCCGGTGGCGACCGCTGTAATAGTAATATCCAAAATATTGATAGACGTATATTATTTATCCCACATAAGTCTCGGAAAATCAGTAGCGGTTCGAAACGATCCAGTTTGGTCGAGTGTTCATACGTGAGCTGGAGAACCACCCAAACCGTCAGGCACATCTATGAGACAGCTCGTTGTTACCATGACTCGTCTGTCACAGATGGTTTCCGCTAGGGCATGTTTCGAGCGATCGTTTCGAGTGTTCATCATGTGTGCTCGATTCTTGCAGGTAACCCAACGTGGAGTTGGGAATCGCTTGATGGCATATCTAGTACAAAAACAAGTCGAGTGGTTAATCTCGAGGATTGCTAGTGCTTGATGGTACTTTCACACTCAGTCCGCTCACAACCACACCAACAGCATGAGTTCAGAAAACATACAAGCGTAAAGAGTGAATTTAACGTATGTCACAAACGAACAACGCCACGTAGTTTCGTTGAATCAAAGCTGAACTGGTAGAGTAAGACACTGTAGCTCAACACAATAAGTTTTGGCTCGAGTAANTTTTTTTTTTTTTTTCTGTTTTTGCCTTTCAGTTTTCACTTGAGATCCTGACTGTGCTTATATGCTATGTTTTCAACCGTGTACACAACTCATATGGTATCCAACTTTACCTTATGTGAACTACAAGATGTGAAAAGAATGTTCAAGAGCAGTAATCTCAATGGACTAAAAATACAGATATGATGTAAGCTGAACACTTACTCCAGCATTCATTTTAATTTCAAAATGACAATTCTGCTGACAATCTTCCAGTGGTATAATAACAGTAGTTGTGGAAGTTTGACAAGTGTAACTCAACCTGTTACAGATCTATCGGTTATATCCTGTATATAACATCCCGCGCCACTCGTCAACTTCTGCATACAAGGTACTCGTCGCTCGTCTAAAATTATTTCAAATTTTCTTTACAAGTTTTTATTCCAAAATTTTTTTTTGTCGGGAACATCTGCTGATGTCTATTACACATATATTTGAACCGTGAGAAACATAAATTTAGATTCAGAATTCACTCAACTTGTCTTATCAATGGTGAATGCTTGCCTTGAAAAAGTCCTCCTCTACATGCAGGATCCATTTGAGAACGCACATGAAAACCTGTCAGATACCTCAGTATTCGATTCAGCTCCCTGGGACTTTTGCAGCCAACAGTCTAGCGTATTGAAAGTATGATGGTAGTATCATTGCGATTTGCACCTGTAGCGCCATGATTATGTGTGCACTGCATCCATCTACCCGTCCTGCAGGTAATGCCATTGAAGTGTCACAGCTCCAACTTCGTCGTATCTGTCGTGAACTTGCCCATAAACACACCACCTATACTTCAGGTGCCAGCAATTGTTACAAAGCACACAGACAATTTCTATGGCTCCTCCTTAATTTTATTTTTTGACAAACTTGAAACTACTTCAAATAGAACGTCAGCCTGCCCAGATATTTATCTACCATACTTCTGGTGCCAAAGGATTTTATGGTGCTAATTAGAAATCTGTACCAGTTTTTCCTAATTTTATATCACACTTTGAAGTTTTTCTTAAGAAAATTCAGAAAAATCCCATTTGTTGTTGTAAATTCTATTTCAACTGTATAAATCACAGTAGTCTATTTTAAAAATTCCTAGAATGTCATATACGTGATGAAATACCGGACTGAAAATTCGTGAACCATATGCACATGCAATGCTTGTGTGCAGAACCTCGATCTTGAAAGCGTGATATTTGTGTCGGTATTGGTGCCAACACCCCCCTAATCTCTCCAGACCAAATAAATATGATCAATAATAACAGGAACGCTGATATAACTGAGCTAATCTCTCTGCAAGTTTGTGAGACAGCACACCTTCTTGTGTTCTGCATATTCATTGATGCACCTGCATATAGTTAATGACCATAGGCGAGGTATTAAACCTATCCTGTTACTTCTACAAACATCGCAGGTCAATTCCAATGTTCACTAGATGTAATTGGCTACGCCACAAACTCAAAGTCGTCCGAGAAATAATTTGCAAAAAAAAAAAAAGTTTTTTTTCCACCGTTATATTCACATAGAGACTCCAGTATTGACGTCAACTCTCCCAAAATCACATCAGATATACTTCCAGTGCCAACAAATGTTATGGAGCAAACGGGTATATTTTAGCAATTTTTCCTGATTTTATATCACACTTTTTAGATTTTCAACAAGAAATTCAAAGAGTTCCCACTTGCTGTCGTAATCGTTATTTGAATCGTATACATCATGGTGATGTTGTTCAAGTTCTCCTGAGATGTTTGATATGCTATGGAAGAACTTTATCAAAAAATGCACGTGCATGCAGAGACGGGTTTATATGCAGAGTTAAAATTTGCTATATTTATCAGTTCTGAGGAGTGCTGTCAATTTAAACAAAAGAACATATAAATTTTAATGATGCTGATAGATATGAGTTGGTGCTTTTTAGAACTCAGAACTCACATTTACGGGATATGAATCTTGTATTTCGCACCATACACTTGACTTTAACGAAGAGTTACACCTTTCGTATGCTACAAGCAACGTAAGTCGCTTCCAAAGCCCACTGAATACTACCGCTAGTGTAATGAACTGTGCCGTTACGGGCTGTATCCACCTAGGCCGGATTCGAGATCTGATTTGTAGTCGGTGTATAGATACTTGTATTGGCCTATAGCTAAGGTACTCCCATAATTGATGATCAACTCACTCAAACAAAATCGTACACTTCCTTAATGAAGTGATAGCCTAATTCGACAGTTCAGCTCCAAAATTGAGTCGCTGAAGAATAATCAAAGAAACCTCAATTCTCGCTCGCTTGGGCGTTGATGCCGAATACCAACAGATTAACTCGAAAGCATAAACGAGAAAGTTCATTTAGCTACTAACAAACCTCGATCGCAATACATTCATTGACTATAAACAAACCTCGCCCTTCTCGCTTAATTTTCAGCAACCTTGATTACCACCTTGCCCAGAGCCTCACCGGCAGCAAGCTTCTTCATTGCTAAGGGAGTTTCGTTGATGGGGAACACAGAGTCGACAAATACTTTGAGTTTCCCCTCGCTAAAAAGCGTCGACGCCAACTCCATCCAGGCGCGGTTGGAGATTACGGCGGCAAAGTGGTAGTTGAAGCCGTTGAAACCAAGCTTCAGTAAGATGGTACGAGTGATGGATTTAGTCATAGACCACAGCAACGACAATGCGTGGTCCAGGACGTAGGTGTAGTGGCGGTCGCCGACAATGGTGACGTAGTCGTTGCGAGCAGGGTCAACAATCGCACTCAAGTTGGCAAAAAGGTCATCGTTACCAGTACAGTCATAGATGTAGTTGAATTTGCCAAGCTTAGCTTCCTCAAGCACGGGATTCAACAATGATTTGTGGCCGTGGTAGTCGATTTGCTTAGTCGAACCCAATTGATGCACGAGGGCATTGGAACGAGGGCCGTTGGTTGTGATGATTTCAGCGGCACCGCGTTCACGAGCAAGCTGGATGATGTATCTCCCCACCGAGGTAGCACCACCAAGCACAAGCACTTTCGCCCCCAGTAAGTTGTGGCCGTCCATCATACAGTAGGCAGTGCCAAACACCAAGGGTACCCCGGCCGCTTGTTCCATTGACATTCCCAGGGGCACTTTCGCCACCGCAGAATCGAAGCCATTGGGCTTGATGGTGATGTATTCAGACACGGTACCGTTGCCAAAGGGGTGGTTGTACATGCCATACACCTTATCGCCGACTTTGAGTCCGCTAGTAGAGGCAGCTGAGGCGCCAATGGCTTCCACAGTACCCGCGTAGTCGCGACCCACGCCCTGCTTCAGGTTCAAAAACGACGTGACCCAGTACGCCAGGTTGTACAAGATGACATCGACGGGGTTGAGCGCGGCGTGGTCGACCTTGATGATGGCCTCGTCATCCTTGACGGGGGTCAACTCTTCAAAGGTGACGTGGAGCGGGTCCCGGTTAGTGGCGTAGGTGTAAGC